ACTTATGTGGATTCAAACTAGAGATACATATGAGCGGTCCTCCACTGATGGCATAAGGCATTCTTGAATTCCTGAAAATATTCGTACCGGCTGTAACAAAAATCGGAGTTTTATGGATTCTAGTCGCAGTGCGACATTATGACTTTGAAAATGCCGCTGCGAATTGGAAAGTTTTCTGCGGCAGACTGTTACGCGATGAAGCGTTATGTCGTGAGAACGATCATTTGTGTCCAAGTCGATTAAATTTTGAGGTTTTGTTTATGTTCTGGCAGTTGTTCCCAAAAATCTGAAATAATCGTTGATGGTAATATTTGGCAAAACTGCATATTTATGCGATTCTCATCACTCAAGTATCGAACATAAGGCTCAAATAAAAGTACGAAGTACATGTTGCACAATATTAATTTTTTATGTCCGTTCCACATTAACAGTTGTTATTAACGTCTACCTTTATACCGTAGTATGCTTGTTACTTGTCGACAGTTTGCTGACATATGTTTTTTGTATCGACAACTTGCTGACAACATTTGCTGACCGACAGCATGCTTACCGACAAACAGAATACGTGGCTAAATTATCCAAACACAGTTTTCTGCCGGACATTTGAAGTATTTGAAGTATTTGAAGGACATTTAATTTTTCCTCTGCATTTATCAGGAAATGTTTTTCCCGGTGATGGTTTTACTGTCCAATTGCTACGGGCCTAATATTAACATCACAACATTTACGAGACATTCATACAAGTACGTCCACATCACATTACCATCGTACGCATACGTAAGTATACGCTACACGTAGGGTAAAACATCCCGGATTTATCGCTGGCAACGTCCAGTATTTCAGCACCCAAGAAACGCGTCTAGAAATATGTGGAAAAGTGCTCTAAGTGTGCATTTCAAATGTCACTAATTTCCAACACAGACATTAAGTAAAGTTTACAAAAAAAACGTGTGCTACGTTTTCCAAAAATTTCCTCGACATTGTGCGCAATACTGTACGTATCACGTGTATGGAAATGCTGGTGGCAAGTTTACGATGAATACTACAATTTTGCTGAGGAATCAGGAATGCACATCGAATTTCTGAGATGTAGCCTTAATGCTCCTCCATACATCATTAACGAGAAACATTTATTCGCGGTAACAATACATGACACTGGATAAAAAAATTAAAACAGAAATGAATGAAAAAAGCTTGACAAACTCACGTGTAAAAGTTAAAGATTGTAGCGAGCCACAGGCTAAGCATAACGCAGGAGCCATAACGGTAACACTGCCAAGTCTGCCTATCCAATAACCAGTGGTTATCGAGCGCCGCCGTCCAGCGTCACCATATGGTCCCCGTTTCGTTCCTAACTTGCGGACAAGCGTTGCGGAGACGGCATGGAATTTAGCCTCCCTAAGGAATGGTCGCAACTGGCTCCATCGTGCACACATCCGTTACAGAACATCCAAATTAAAACTCAAATTCTCGCGCAGACGACGCATTGTGAACTATGCGACACGAGTTTCCACTACGGATGTTCCGCCAGAAATAACATACATAATAAATTGGCCAAAAGGCCAAAAATACTTCAAAACCCGCACACACCGATTCATTAATGGCAAGCGTGCAGACTTGTCCGGTAATTTCTATCGCATCAGCACAAGGACAAATACATGTACCAATTCATGAGTTACTCGAACTCCTAATTATTCAGTGTAAAGTCAAAAAAAAAACAACACTGCTACAGCAGCTACAGTGTACAATACATAAAGAATGACAATGTGAGAGTGCGTACAGTATCACAGCGAGATAATGCTGCTAAAGTATATACAGTGTAGAACACCGCAGGAATAACACTGTCACAGTAAAAGCAGTGCAGAATATAAAAATAATGCACTGTGCAATATGTAAAAAAAGTGTACAGCAGCCTATCTCGGCACTATATATTAACACAGTGTACTGTACAAGCTTGTCCGGTAATTTCTGACGAATCTGTACAGCGAATTACATAAATTTGCGTGTTACGCCAAACTTCACACTACGGCGCGCCACGCCACACTGCTTAAACACGTAACATGCATTTGGCTGGCTGGTGGCTTGTTGCACGCCATATAATTGTATGAGGATAATAGTAACTGCCTGGCGGAAGGTGGCTAAAAAATGGTCGGTGCAGTAAGCGACAATCTGCCTGCGGAGCGCATTGAGTTAAATTTATAAACGTAGTGAAGTGGCCATCGTTATAAGCGCAAACTTCGCGCTAGCTGTACCTTTACGTAGGAAATTACCGGACAAGCTTGTACATGTATTACACTGCAGCACTGATCAGTATATATTCCCAAAACGGTAAATAGTAACATTATTATGTATGGATTTGCAGTCATGGAAATGGACACCCACGAGGCTCCCGCTAACGCAGACAGTAACACTACGCCAAGCAGCTCGGCACCGGCAGACACACCACAAGCAACACCCAGCAACACCGTGCCGCCGGACGCTATGGACATCCAGACAACTGGATATGATGATGGTAGCTTTAACAACGAGCCATTCCATCCAGTAACACGCCAGAACAGGCCGCACACACGCACCTGCACCAACACCGGCCACCTCCGACAGTACCACTCAGCAACCCGGGCAGCGCACCGACCAGAGTAACAATACTCCGAAGAACGGGAACGAGAATAGTAACCAGCGCCAGCAGGCACAGCAACGCGCTGAGCGCATCCGTTATGTTACCGCAACTTCCCGTCAGACAGCACTCCCTGTTAACGACTTGCCGTTCAACCCGTTCATTAGCTGCATCTGGGCCGTCACCACTGAGGACATGCAGGGCCACATGAACAACATCGGTACCGCGATAGATCGCCTTTTGGATCAACGCAGCACCCTGCCGAATAACTACGACGCACTGGTAATCGAGTACGAGGTTGAGCAGTTGAAAACTACGTTCTCGTTTTCGGAGCGTCACAGTAAACAACCTAACAGTAACAAATTCGTAACTTTCCCGGAGCCACTGGCAACGTCTCTCTGCCATTTCTACCAGCAGTCCTGGCGTTTCAATCGTTTTGCCAACGGGTCATGGATAAAGCATGCAGCAGATGACGGGACCTGGCGGTATGAACACCGTTCTGGTTTTGTGTATCGCTACATCAGCAATTCACACCGTCAAGGTTTCAAAAGGGTAGAGCAGTAACCGCGTTATTCAATCCGTACCGCTATTTCCCGATAAGCATGCCGTTTTGGCCAGGTGAAATTGCCTGGGATGGACCCTAAACGGAAGAGACGCGTACACGAATCAGTAATTACATCGTTGAAATCGACGAGTATAAAGCAGTGAAGGGCACCGATAATGACAAAGACATACAGTGTGCCTTCGTCGAAATGGCAGACATGTGGGCTGGAGAGTATCAGCAGCTTGATTTGGGCAATATTATTGCAAAAACCGGCATTCGTGGATATGCACCGGAAGAGCGAGGTCATCAGTCCACCGTACGGGAGGATAAAGTAACCATTGCGCAGCTGAATGCCAAAATTCGCCAGCTTGAAGAGCAACTCGCACAGCCGGGCCAAAGTAACCAACAGCAGGGACAATACCAACCATACCCCAGCAGCACGGACAGCAGCACCCGCGTCAGAATGGAGAACAGTGCCAGCCACGCCGTTCATTCGCCTGACCGGAAACTACAGAGAGTAACACAGCAACACGTGGGATAAGAAACCCCGCCATCCGGATTACCCACGATCAGTAACGTTCTTACAGTAATTCTCCTTGTTACTTGCACAATATCTCTGCGTTAATTATCTTCCTTAATTTTCGTTCTTGATTTTTACCGGATTCCTCTTGATAAGACATGTACGAGGACAATTGGGTGCTGTGAACACCCCTCGCCCGATTAGGCTGCGATGAACAACTGGTTAGCCGTTGCACGCAACGCTAGTTACGCTACTGACATAACAGTGCAAACAGCTTAAATTTAGCCGGATGTTCATCGCAGCCCAATCGTGCAGAGGGTGTTCACAGCACCCAATTGTCCTAGTATATTAACACGCTATGCGTAGACAGCGTATTAGGTACGTACGTGCTGTGACGTGCGTGTTGTCTGTTCTGTTACGTACAACTGCTGTTCTTATCTAACGCATTTTGATCACTAATTCCATTAGCGATTCGGATTGCATGGTTAGTCTTTGGTCTGCAGAGTTGGAAGAGTCTGAAGACTGTGAAGTTAGCTTTTACTAGAAAGTTGGTGTGACCTTCTGGTAGAAGTGTGTTCTATTTGTTGATTAAACATTTGAGAAGTTCCTGAGTGTTTTGGGTTTCGGTAGCTTTCGTTAGGCACATCAGCAGTACCTAGCGGAAGTAGTTTTGTTGTGTACGACCACTCATCGGAGTCCAGAGTGTATTCCCACTGTACCGACTGTGCGTGGTTGGTCATCGAGTACGGTAGCCGCGGTACGACTGCCGTATAGCATGTCAATATCTTATCGCTACTGTTCGGGACGTAGCCGTACAAATAAGATCTGCAGTTTTACAGTAATGATGATGAGCATTTCATAGGTGCTAGTTGAAGTGGAAACATCTGAATGTGTACTTGTACGAATGTTCACTTCTATCATGAATTTCTACACTGGTTTGGGAAATGTCTAACTGATCAAAAATCATTCTTGCTCTTGCCCTTGCCCGTGCTCTTCCCCAATGATTTTCAGCGGATTATAAAAAGTGTGCGTACGTTTTGACGATGTGTTCTGTTGCCGGCTTTCGTTAAGAGTTAATTACATAAGCGATCTTAAAGTAATTCGTTAACACCACCAGCACTTCTGATCTTGGTACGGGTGTGTAACCCACTCCACTAGGGGCAGCTTAGAAGTTGTCATTGCAATAGGATACCAGCCGGTGGTGACGCACGTGGTTCCATGGTGGTTCTGTGGCTGTTCTATGGAGATGTTATATGGTTCCATGCGTACAGAACTTACATGTTAGTGAGGTTTGTTTTCTAATCAAATAATTTATTCCCCATAGAACCACTTAGTGTCCTAACTTGGACATTTTATGAAACAATCAGACATAATCAGTGCGCGCGCAACACCATCAGGAAAACTAAGCCATCGTCAGCCGGTCAACGTTTGCTGTGGACATCAATTACGGACAACACGTATCGTAGCCGCTGCCATCTGGTGTTTAACCTTTAGCATTTCTTGATGCTGCTTTACAGTTGTTGAGCAGTGGTCCATTGGGCGGCGCGCATATTGGCGAGGGAATGAAAGTTCGATACAGACCCGGTTTGCAGATGCAGGTGGAGTCACAATTAGAAGCGCATAACGGCGACGGGTTTGGATTGGCACATGATTTCTCACACTTGCTACAGCCAGAAGTCATTAACGGGTCGGGACACACAAATCTTTTTAGGACGTTGGTATCCATGGTACTGCAAAAAATGCGAACCACAGATGTTAGCCCTAACCAACTTGCGTAACCGTCAACCGTGGATGGCTGCAGTGTGAACTAACCAAACCAACAGTGCCACGCTTCAACCGTCCACAGTTGAAGGTTAAGAATGTTGGTTACCATCCACGGTTGCCGGTTAAGTCAAACCACTAGCGCAGTTGGGTTCAGCTCTTTGTTTGGCGATAGCTGCACTTTTTCTGTAACTACATACTCTGTATCCAAGCAAATTGCCTTCACACGCCTGCGCAGGTCGGCATGTGTGTCTGCCTCTGCTGCACTTCAGCTTTCTGATGGTTTTAAAATAATTTACCGTCGCCGTCTTCGCTAAGCGTGTACCCAGAATCCGCTGCACCATTTCTTGGTGACATTGTATGTCGCTCAAACTTCCGAGTGTATGTTATAGTGATATGAGCAGTTGACATATGAGATAATGACATATGATATCTTGATAATGATTTATCTGACAAAACATTAAATGTGGCAGGCTTTTAAAGTGGGCTTACATGACATAAACGACGCTAATTGTGTGTAAGCAAGGCGTCTCAGGTTAAAAGCAGGTTAGGTTAGGTTAGGTTAGCAGCTAAAACCGACTAGTTCGGAGAAGGTCACTTGACTAAACCGTGCTTTACCGGGGAAACGTAAGCCGCTAGAATTCTGTACGGGACTTACCGGCTTTCCCTTGGGCTCTGGTCGGTGGTAATCCCCGAATTGTTTGTGTCGTTTCCAGCGCTGGCTGTGCCATGCCCAGATTCGACGGTGTGGATACCAGTCTGAGCTGCGTTGAAACGAAGTAGGAGCGAGACGGCGCCCCACAGCGTGATGACAGCAGCGGTTGACTCCATCGTACACAACTACAAGGGAACTCTGATACGATGGGAAAAGAGTGGACAGCAGAGTGCACTGCCAAGTAAATGTGGTGTCAGTTAACAACACTGCTACTTTGCGTTTCCTCATATACTAACTTTTTTTGTCGCATTAATTTTGCTGATGAATGCAGCTTCTGCGGCGATGCCAATCAGTTGGTCAGTGCCACCAATTAATGTTAATAAGACATGCATCGGACGCCACCAGGCACCCCGCTTATTATGCTAGCCCATGCATACACTTGTACGATTGGCAAGTTTCTGTTTATCGAAAACATTGATACAAGCAAAGCATGAGTGCCCCAAGGAAAACAACGTCTGCTCCATGAAATAAGTGAGAAGTGAAAGGAATTAAACAGACGTTGCCACTAAATAAATGCAAGACACCGATGTATCCGATGACAACCCAGCGTGCAATTAATGTTAGCCTATTTCAGATTGCACGGTTTCTGTTCCTTTCGGCTCCGGTTCCATGTAGAACCTTCCGTCCGTTCGCGACGTTAGCAGGTGTAACCTAGCGTCGTGCGGTGACGTGTACAAACTGTCTGCCTTACGCGGATGCTCGCAACGGCTCAGACACATGAGGGAATGGCAGGCCAGCTTATGCTGCCCGTGGATCTTTTTTGAGCACTCAGACCGCCGACCGTTAGCAGGGTGGTCACGTCCTCGCGCGCACTCGACTCGATTAATTTTTTCGTTGCTGTACGTGACCAAAGTGTAACCCTACAAAGATCTGAAGCAGTTTTCATCATGCTAATGTACAGTACTGCTAATCTGACTCCGTACTATTATATGTACGGACTCTACGGAGCCTTTACCGTATGCAATCTGAAATAGGCTATTGTGTGATTGCCGGCGTGCTTAGCATAATTACAACGTTGTGCATCCGTTTCACGAATAGATGGTATAATAAACAATGTTTGATGACAGTGCGACAATGACTGGCTAAATGGCACCCAAAGACAAAATGGGTTCGGCCTATTGTTGTGCTTACTAAATACTCTTTAAAACCATTTTAATGGGCAATAGCTACCAAGATAATAATGATTGCAATTTGCAAGCGCCGGTACACTAGTTGCTAGACACTCTTTAACTACGGTACACTCTTTAAAACTACTTAACGGCTGTTGACTTGGTAAAAGTCCCGTGCTCGCCCTAATAAAAGTCTGATATACAGTAAGATTTTGTTCAAATTAGTTTAGTTTATTCACGGAGCAGACAAACCGTTGAGGCACCAACAAGTCTGGTCGTTATTTATGAATACACAAGCATTCAAAAACACGCAAAAAATCAGGAGCTCTTCAATAGTGAAAACATTACAAAATATTTCTAGTTTTAAGCAGTGACAGAATGATAATCTGTCACAGTACCACAGTACGCTTCGATAAATAAAAGTCTCCTGCTAAATCAGTTATGAATTATCTAACGTATTTCATCGAATACTAGTAATTACAGTACAGCCCTGCCGTACTGCATCCTTGTACAAGCCGGTCCGGAGTAAGAGCACGTAAAGGTACAGTTAACGCATAATAAGCGCGATGTTAGCACTGGCACGATGGCCACTTGACTACGTCTACCACAATGCGTTAATACGCTCCGCAGTCAGATTGTCCCTTACTGCACCAACTGTATTCTAGCCACATTCCGCCAGGCAATTACGATCACATACACTCATTATAATATATGCCGTGCAGCAAGCCACCAGCCAGCCAAACGCGTGTTACGGATTTAAATAGTGTGGCGTTGTGTGGCTTAGTATGTTGTTTGGCGTAACCGATGAATTTACATTGTTCGCTGTTTCTGTCGTGCTCTATCTCCTGACCGGCTTGTAACATTACCTTACAATTAGTCAAGGTGTATAAAAGCAGTCTTTTACCATTCGACATGTCAGTCGCCGCAGTCCGTAGTAAATTGCTCATGTGGGCACTAATAGAACGCCATCCTTAATGGGAGCATATACACTACCGTGATCACAGAATTCTATACAGGAATGATTGTTCTGTTGCGCTTTAAAAACAGCGCAGTGCAACACAAGTTTTCCCGGGATGGCGACGCGACAACAAGCGGCGGTACGCATAAAGCATGCAACTGGGCGCGAGGGCCGTGAACTGGAATCCCATTTATTTGTAGAACCTTATTTGGTAGAAGGGGGCACGTAACAAATACTCGTATTGGCGCACATTACGTACGTAGATAGGTAAGATCTGTAAATAAAATATTAAACATCTTCTAAATCAGGCAAATTTATAGAAATCAACAGAAACATGCGGCTTGTACAACGCCAGGGAAAAAATCATTTAACATGAATGACAATTTTATTAGTAATTTATTATTTGTATCAGGAAACATAATTTTCGACATCAAACATCTATAACTATTGATATTAAGCATAATTAGTTATTACAGCGCAACTGATCTGTTGATGAAATGGGTACGCCATGTTCTTGGTAAACGCACCACACCGGCAATTACACTGAACGCACTTACACGGCAATCACGCTTTGTTTTCCGATTTATCGGAGTCTTTTGCTTAAAAATGTGGTAATGTCTGCCTGATTAGCTTGCATTTCTCACTTATTTTGTATGCAGACGTTGGTTTTCCTTGAGGCATTCATGCTTTGCTTGTATCAATTTTCCGGAAAAAAAAACAGAAAACTTGGCAGTCGTACAAGCTGAATTTTGGACATGCATAATAAGCGTGGCGCCTGGTAGCGTCAGGTGAATGTTTGCTTAATTGTTAATTGGTGACACTGACCGGTTGATTGGCAGAAGCACCGGATGTTGCATTCCTCTGCAAATTAACGCGACAAGCGCGCGTATATAAAGAGAAGCAGAATGTCGATTCTGTTAAGTAATATCCCATATACTTGGCAAAGCAGTCTGCTGTCAACTCTTCCCTATCTTTATCGACCTCACTTGTTTACTAAGAAGTCAGCCGTTGCTAGCACCACGCTGTTAGCCGCCGTTACCTGCAACTGCTTTACAGCGCAGCGCGGTCTGGTATCCACACCGTTGAATCTGGTCACGGCACAATCAAGGCTCGAAATGGCACAATTAAATGTGGAAATACCACAGACAAGGACCCGGCGAATAAACCGCTAAGTCTGGTTTACGATTTACGATTCGTTTCTCATTTTCACAGTAAAGCAACTTTTAAAGGAATGACCTCTTCAGAATTTTGTCGCTTAGCCTGCTAATCTGAGACATTTTTTTCTCAGGCAAATATCGTTTTTTATGTATTGTAAGAACAGTTAGGACAGGATCGTCCCCCTGGTATATTACTAATTTTGTATAAATCTTCTTCTTATTATTATTATTATTTATAATAATATTCTTATAACTTGATACACATATTGCCGTGATGCACAATGCGAGCAAATACTGATGGAGTGGATTTTGCATATGCGCTTGCTAGCGAAGACAGAAAGAACCGGTATCAAAACGGTTTGAAAACGGTATTACAGCAGATCTTGACTCATTTATTGCTATCGTCGCCGAACGGTCGCAGGTTACGTTTGGTGGTTAGGGCTGCTATCCACGGATGGCGGTTAAGCTAACCGGTTCCACACTATGCATTTTAAGCTGACATGTGGGAGGGCTCGTTCTCTATTATCCATCTTCTTAAGGTACCTAATGGTTTTCTTATGGTTTTTTTTCAAAGTAGTTTCAAAGATGTTAGGGGACAATTTAAAATACACAAAGCTTCACCGTGTCAAGAAGGCCTCGGAAGTGACCTAAACTAGGGTGCCCACCAAGAGCTTATTGTTGGTGCCGATGAGTGAAAAAAGAAGGAAATGGCTATTCTCACCACCCTGGCACCTCCTTTGGCTATTCTCACCACCTTTCACCGCCTTTTGGCTATTCGCACCACCTTTTTGATATTATTTTTCACGCCACCTTTTGACTGTTGCCACCACCTTTCTACACCTCCATTTCGCTATTCTCACCTGCTTAAATAATTTTTTTATTAACGGGTGACCCAACAAATTGGCGGTCTAGGCTCTTAGCTTGTCTCTCGCAAACCACTTGTCGTACCGCAATTTTTGCGGAAAAAAATTCGTTTTTGTTATCGAATATTTTTTCAATCTTTCTGTTACAAATTTTTTTTGCCTGGCAGGAAATAACAGCAGGTGTGGGTTTAACTGATAAACATGGCTAATATCATAATATTACTAAACTAATATTATTTGTTTTGTAATATTATGCTAATATGTATATTTTGCTAACAGAAACGGGTTTGATTTACGCAGATCAGTTCTGAAGATTTAAAAATAGAATTATTAGGAAGAATCGCCGCTAACGGCTAAGCTACAAAATCTGTAGATCAAGTCTTTTAGGGATAACGAACACATTGTGTAACAGCGCAAACAAATAGGTGACAATAGCCAAAAGAGGTGCGCAAAGGGGGTGGCAATAGTCAAAAGGTGGTGTGAAGAATATTTTAAAAAGGGTGGTGCGAATAGCCAAAAGGCGGTGAAAGGTGGTGGGAATAGCCAAAAGGTGGTGTGAGGTGGTGGAAATAGCCACACCCAAAAAAGAATGCACACGTTACGCTCATTCTCTTATAAAATTAACACGTATTCGGCACATCAGATTGAAATTTTGAAGCGATTGCTTTGGAGTTGTGACAGTTTTATATCCATGGCGGTTGTTGTTTGAATAGATTGTGCACCGCTGACCGTGGACGGACGATGCACTGCGATATTTAAGCATAAGCTGCGCGCACCATACGGTAGTTTTAATGAAAGCACGAGTAAGAATCTTACTTTAACAAAGCCCACAACTATGCGGGTTAATACAGGATAGAGTGAAATAAATAGTAGAATAAGAGCTCCAACTAAACGCATAGTTTCAGTGTCACTGCGAGAAGCATGCGTAATATAATTCTAAATGTTTATAATACAATGCTGTACAAAGCACTCTGACATTGTGAGGCTAAATAAAATATAGATGCTTTAGATTGTGACCTCTACGCATGCATGTCGGTTGATCCAGGTTGGACATGGGCAGAGCACGGGCCGAAGACCGTTGCCGTTGTCGCCGCGGAGTACGTTATTATGGGATTTTGG